ATGAATTATCTTAAGAATTCATCAGTAATCCATTTTTCTGTTATAAAAAATGGGTGATCTCATTGGTAGAGAGGCGTCAGGCGGCTGTATCTCGGGGATTTACCACACGTGTACAAATTTTCCATAATATTAATAAAAATGTAGGTATAGGTTAATATAACAACCATATGGTTGTAGCGTAATATTACGCTTGAAAATAAAAAGTAAATCAAGTGTGTATGTATTTATATTATTAATATTACAAGTGCCCGACCTACTGCCGTAAATTATTGATATATAATATAGGTCGGGTATGGACATACCTTTTAACATATTAGTATTTATTGAGTATTAAGGCTTAAAGAAAATGGAAGTATAATACTTACCAAAAAATAAAAATGTCCTCTTATGGATTCACCGTAATTAAAATCTAACTGAACAAAAATGCCACACTTCCACAACGCGGTATCTCCGGATATGCACTGCGTAGGTAGATAGGTATCAACCAAACATTTTAAAACGCATTTCGGTTATTACCAGTTTTTTCAGTCTATTTTGCCACTAATAGTGTAATTTAACTTTAATTGTGATACAATGTGCACTAGTAGTGTAAAGAAAAAAGAGCTCTTAGTAACATCAAAACAGACAAAGAAATTGACATGCACTGTAGTGTACATTTTGTCACTATTTAACACATTAAGGGGTAATAAACACTCGCATTAAGTTTTTTTATCCTTTTGATTTATTTTAATAATAAATAGTGTGAATGTACCAATGAATAATGTTCATATTCTTTAAATGTGTTTAATAAAGTTAATAAGCACTAAATGCTACCTAGTGTATTTTGTAGTGTAACTTTTACACTTACAAATCAACTCTAATATTTTTACCCCTACACAAAAAAATTTACACGGGCAAAATTTTTTACTGTGTAGACTATAAACTGGAAAAATGTCTTTTATTGTTTATTTTCATTTTAGCAAGGGACAAGAAAGACTAAATATAAAATTTACACGTGTAATTAAAAAAAACAATTTCTGCGCCTTTGATATGTGACTCACAACCTCTTAGACATTTCTCCCATGAAATTGGTTTGGATAAATTGCTTTTTATTTTCAAATTATCTACCTTTCTTAAGATTAATAAAACAAAAACGTATTTCGCAAACAGCTATACAAAATATTTGCTTTATTTATTCACAGAAAATGATTTCGTTTGCATTTAATTACTGAAAATTATTAAACGACTTAAAGTAAAGAGAGCGAAACATTTGCAAAACATTGCGTATTACTTTCAATGACAAATTCTTGTGCCAAAAGAATTATAATTTATATAAAAAATTATTATAATTTTTATAAAAAAGACTAGTTTTACCAAAAAACAGGGTCATAGATTATTGTATTAGTTAGCCTTAAATTCTGACGAAAAGTTGAAAATTAACACGTACTTTTTTGCTGAATTTACGGGTAATAAGTTGTTCGCGGCTTTTGCGGCCTGTTACAATTTCTGGCGGGGTTAAATTTTGTATGTAAACATACGAGGTATGTTCAGAAAATATCGGGAATTTTCGTTTTTTGAAATAAATATTTATTTATTCGTCTACATTAATGTTGTCGCCTTCAAAATAGTCCCCATTGGATATTATGCACATGTGCCAGCTCTTCTTCCAATACTCGAAACACTTCTAAAACTCGATCTTTGGGATAGCCTTTAGTTCTTTCAGCGATGCGCTTTTAATGTCATCTATGCTTGCAAAACGACGGCCCTTTAAGGTTCTCTTTATTTTTGGGAATAGGAAAAAGTCAAACAGAGGCATGTCTGGCGAATATGGAGGATGGGGCATCTTTACAGTATTGTTTTTGGCCAAAAATTTTGTTCAAAATTTAACAATTTTAGAACAAATTTTGCTTCCACGCGTTTCATACCCAAAACATTCGAAAAAATTTCATGGGATGAGCCAATCGATATACCTACATATTTAGCGACTTCTCTGATAGTTTATAAACATTTCTTCCACTTTTTTCCATGTTTTTATCGGTTGTTAATGTGCTTGTGCGTTCGGGGCGTTCGTCATCTTCAACGTCTTCACGGCCATCTTGGAAACTCTTATACCACTTGTAAACTCTTGTTTTACTTATAGCAGACTCACTATATGCTTTTGTTAACATTTCACAGAATTTATTTCATTTTTAAGCAAAATTGGATACAAATTCTTTGATCCATTTCTTTTAAAGAACGAAAAATCGCCGAGCTCATAAAACACGTCTAACCTTAGCGGCTGCCACAGACAAAGTAAACAATGAAAACAGCTAAAGTTTTTATTATAATTCGGGGGCATGTATACCAACATAATAAAGAAAATTTTATGACAACCGGACCCTCCGAACCCGCGTAATTTAACAATTCCCGTTATTTTTTGAACACACCTTGTATAGTCAAAATAATAGATATGTCAGATGTCCAAGGCAATCGTTGATATTAACAGAATATTGCCGTGTATCGCATTTCTTTTGGATAAAAATCTGTATCTGTGTCGTACTAAAAAATTTGTACCATAATGGATTTCGTCATAAAAACAGGTGGAAAAGAAGACAAAGTATGTTTTTGCAATATTAAACAGTATTTCTTTGTGAAAAGAGTCAGATAAAGTAGCATAAACTAGGTACCTAGTTAATATTGTGGTAGTCTTATTTTAACATTTAGTGACTTTTGTTTCAATAAAGGCTGTCTCTCAGGGTATAAAGTTTTCCATGATTCAATAAACAGGAAACGGAAGCGTTGAATAAGTAAAAGAAACAAAACCATGTTCCACATTTTAGCGATTATCCTTGTACCACACTTGCTGAAATATGATACTCCTTCCTATGAGTACCTACGGTCAATTCCGCAAATTACGTATTATATGGTATAATGGTCGAGATTACAAAAAAAATGTTTATCCGCTTTGACCTTGGCTCGGTTTGTTGTCAAGGCAAGGTTGATAGAGTTTCGCCCTCTCTTGCGGGCAAGGTTTGCTGCCTAACCAACGCATGCGTGCGCACAGTGCTCTATAAAGTAAAATTGTATATGGAATAAAAAACAATCATTTTATTAAAAAAATAAAAAACTTCGACTATATTACAATCCTTAATTTACGATAAAATTTAAATTAAAAAAGCGATCAATTATAAAAAAATTTGACACCTTAAAATTTTTTAAAAATACAATTGAACATACATAAAATATTTATAAAAAAATCTACTTACTGAGATATTATACTTCACGGTGGATAGGTTTTTAAATAGCAAATTAATGAACTTAAACTTTTGAATTATAAAACAGCAACACTCTCATCTGCATATAAATTCTAACTGACCTTCAGGAATCACATGCATCTATAATGTCGTGAACAGAGGTTTTTGCTTATTTAAAATGATTAAAGCAAAAACAGATTCACGGAGGATAGAATCAATTTTTGATACACCTACATAAAGGGTAATAAAAATTATATCTTTTAATTTTTAATAAAATTTTATATTTGATTCGATTGTTTTGGATGTGTTTAATTTAATTGGTGGACTGATATTTTTAGTATGCTTTTACTACCTCAGATATTTGAAAACATATAGGTTAATATAGAAAGAGTAACAGTCACGGAGGATAGGTTTTATACTTTTAAAACGTTGTAAAAAATAATTAATTGCGGTTAAAAATCTGGAACTTGAGCGGTAATATCTACTTAATTATGAAAGATCAAAACACAATAAAAGAGTAGGTCAAACATCGGGGGACATTTCGTGAGATTCACCCACATATATTAGGTTGGAACAGTAAAAAAATATTTTTTAATTTTATGTTACTCCAGGTCCACATAACTTTATGTTAAGTTTACAACCAACTGTTATCTGTATAACAAACATTTTGTAGATTTAATAACAAAATCCTATATCAATAATTCAACCATAATTCTTGTAATTTTAAAAAGGACCTTATTTTTACAAACATTTTTGTATACCCAGTAACAAAAGTATTTGTTGGAAGTTGGAAACTTAAATGAAAATAATTTTCATAAGAAATATTATTTTAAAAAAATTAACACATAAATAAACACAAAAATAAAATACACACATTCATTCATTAGGTTAAGAAGTAAGGCTTTTTGTGCTAAGCTCAAGGTTTGACCTACAATTGAGCGAAGCACAAAAAAGGCACTTCTTGGCCGAATGGCATACAACATTTTATCTTCAAAGCACTTTATATAGGTCAATTTAATTCAACATCAAAGCGGCCTAACCTCACTTTTTTAGAATTTCATTTATTTATTAGCTAAAGATTACATTAAATGTACAATAATTATTATTGCAATAAGCATGCTTTTAGCCACATGATTTAAGTAGTAGTAGTAACATTGATTTCAATTAATTGTTTAATAAATAGGTAGGTATCTAATTTCAATTTGTTTGGATTTTTATTTAAAAAATAGGTAGTTTGGAATGTTTAAGCTGTGTTTAACATTTAATTTCACTGAAAACTTAAAGTAAATTAAAACTTAAAGATAATTTAAATCGTAGAAAAAGAATCGTGCGTTTTCTTGGTTGCCTAACCTCACTTTTTGTTTTATTATTCATATTTAATTTTACAATAATTTAATGAAAAATATTAAACATTAACAGTAAAACAAACAAATTAGTGCTTATTATAAATAAATTAAACCAGTTTAGTACGTTAATTTCTTAGAAAAGGAATAATTTGTCAAAACAATACCCCTAGCGAGAAAAAATCGAACTAATTACTTGCCTCATAAAATTTTTTATCGGCCTAGGCCATAACAAGGTATTTCTTTATCGAATGTTGACAACAATAAAGTTTAAATTATAGACCGCGTGGAGATAAAAATGATTATTGCAAATTTGCCCATATTTAAAGTTTTTGAGAAGTTTAAACCTGAATATTAAACCATAGCACTGTGCGGCGTGCATCGCCTACTATTTTATGCGATCCGGTCAGGCACCTCGATATAAAACGGAACAGATCCCGACGTGGGTTAAAAGTGAAACCGACAGTGAAACGAATTTCATACATCAACGAAAAAAGTAAGTTTGTTTTCTCCGTGCATCCAGGAAGTACAGTATGTGCGACGTGTGCTGTGAATGTTTTTTTTCTCCGCTATACTTTGATTTGCCATCAAGAGTTTGGATTTATTGAAAACGTTTTTTCGTAGGGTTGATTTAGAAGTGCGTGGAGAAAATTCTAAAGCGATTTTTTTTTAAATATAAAAATTGTGTTTTAGTTTTTTTGTTTTAAAAATGCATAAATTTTATATATAAAAATATATAGATTTTAATTTTTTCTTAGAAATATATAAAAAGGATAGTTTGTTTGTTTAAACTTTATTTACGTTTACTTAAAAATAAGAATATTTGAATTTTTAATAATAGTTTTATAAAAACATGCAAAAAAGTATAGTAAGTAATTGGACATTTTATAAAATAATTGGACATAGTTATTGGACATACAATTTTTATATAAACATAACAACTTTACATCAAATAACATAAATTGTTAAATATTTTTAAAAAATAAATTGCTTTTTTTTATTTCGTTTATGTAAATATCAAACTTCTGAAATATTTTGTTGCAAATATCATTAAGTGTGGAACCTCTAGTTTGTGAAACATTTATAATGTTTGGGCCGGAACAGGATGATTTATATATATATCTAATATTTTTTCGGGTGGTATGTTAAAAGTATTTTCTGAATTTACTAACTTTGTTGCCATTAGTTTTTTATGTTCTCTATCATGCACTGTATTTAAATCGCTGTTATTCTGCAAGATGTCCTGTGACGAAAAAATCACTATATTACTTACTCTCTAAAAATAAATTAGTCAAAAATGTCATAGCGAAAAAGCAGCCACTAATAATTCTCGTCAACAGCAATTTGTATCCAGGACATTTAGCGGTCAATTCCTATGAAATATTATTCGCTGAATCCGAAAATGTCGTCAAAAGTTATAAAAGTAGAACAGTTTTTAAAATATAATCAATTTTACATATAATATGGAATTGAATATATCTCAAAAACTGCTTAACTTTTATAGTTTTTGACGGTCTTTTCGGATTCAGGGGACAATTTTACATAAGAATTGGCTGGTAAATTCCGGGATATAAATAGAGTATGATATTGAACATATTATGTCCAATAATAAAAGTTTACATTTTTTACCAACCAGTAATTGGACACTGGCCATTTTACTGTTTGTTTTCAGAATTAAAATTAAAACCCATTAAAGTGACAATGTTTAAACCATGAGCAACACATTTATACCTCACACTGATCTCTTTACTTTTTAGAAATATTTTTTATTGTAATTTAAACACAGCCCTGCTCTTATAAAAAAAATCTTACCACCAAAGTAACGTACGAACTTTTTTGTCCTATATTGGACCCAAAATAAAGAGATAGTTATAATGTTAATTGTCCAATAACTATAGTTATCGGACTGTCTACTTTACCCTAAGAGATTATGGGGCGCCGTTTTATTTTTTATTTAGTAATTATTTTTAATTAGATAAAAAATATCACATATTAATTTTTATTCTGCGAATTAATAATATCATAATAATAATAATATATTTTAATATTATAACACCCAGCATCAAACAAACATTTTATTGTAAATTGTGGGCCATTATAGAAATAATAATTGTATATAGAATATCGAACATTAAATTTAATAGGCCCATTTATTCCCATTATAATTTAAAATTAAAAAGTTCGCAGCAAATTTTAACATAGTTTTTGTTTTAGATTATTATTATTAATATTATTATACAATTTTGATAAATAAACCTTTTTTATTAATTAATTCACCATAAGATCAAAGAAAATGCAATTTTATGTTCAAAATAATTTGCAGTCGGGAAAAACTTTTTGTATTAAATCATAGAAACGATCAAAAGCCATTTAATACATCTGCCGGTTTTCTCTTTAGCCGGAATACTCCGTGAATGTGCAATAAGGGCTAATGTTGTGCTTTCATTTTTCTACACAAGCACACCGGAAAATATTTCTTTTTAATTTGATTTGAGTTTTAGTACCTGTACAATTGTTTTTGAGTTTACATAATTTGTCTATTTCTTATACTTTTTGAGTTATTTTAATTTAAACATTTAGAACCCTCATAAAATGGTCCGATTTTACACCATAACTTGTTTATTTATTAGTTTTTCTCATTTACTAAATTAACAGTGAAATTCCACAAAATTTATTATTTTTTTATCAGTTTTTCTATTTTTTATAGTTTTTGAGCTATTTTAATTTAAACATTTAGCACCCTCGTGAAAAAGTCAGTTTTACACTACCTAAAACTGGTTTGTTTTTGGGTTTTTTAAATTTTGCAAAATTTATTAAATATGGCGTAAAATTTCACATAATTTCCTATTCTACATAATTGTTCTATTTCTTATAGTTTTTGAGTAATTTTCGATTCAAACATTTAGCCCCCTTATGACAAAAACATATTTTACACCATCTTGTTTGTTTTTTGATTTTTTCAAAATTCCTTTACCTTTAATAAATTAATAGTGATATTCGACTTACTATATTATTCTACAATTTTTTTCTATTTTTTTTTAAGTTTTTGAGCTATTTTGACTTAAACATTCAGCACTCTCATAAAAAGTCAGATTTTACATCATAATCATAATTTTGCATAATTAATTAAATATGGCGTAAAATTTCACATAATTTTCTAGTTAAAATAATAATCCTATTTCTTATAGTTTTTGAGTAATTTTGATTTAAACATTTAGCACCCTTATGACAAAAACATATTTTACACCATAACTTGTTTGTTTATTTGTTTTTCTACATTCCGTTACACTTAATAAATTAACAGTAAAATTCCACTTAATGTATTATTCTACATAATTTTTCTATTTTTTTATAATTTTTGAGCTATTTTGACTTGAATTCTATAGAATAATAAATGAAGTGGAATTTTACTGTTAATTTATTAAATGTAACGAAATGTAAAATAAAAAAAACAAACAAGTTATGGTGTAAAATATGTTTTTGTCATAAGGGTGCTAAATGTTTAAATCAAAATTACTCAAAAACTATTAGAAATAGGAAAATTATTTTAACTAGGAAATTATGTAATATTTTACTCCATATTTAATTAATTATGCAGAATTATGATTATGGTGTAAAATCTGACTTTTTGTGTATACACAATTTTTCTATTTTTTATAATTTTTGAGCTATTTTGACTTAAACATTTAGCACTCTCATAAAAAAGTCAGATTTTACACCATAACCATAATTCTGCATAATTAATTAAATATGGCGTAAAATATTACATAATTTCCTAGTTAAAATAATTTTCCTATTTCTAATAGTTTTTGAGTAATTTTGATTTAAACATTTAGCACCCTTATGACAAAAACATATTTTACACCATAACTTGTTTGTTTTTTTGTTTTTTACATTTCGTTACATTTAATAAATTAACAGTAAAATTCCACTTAATTTATTATTCTACACAATTTTTCTATTTTTTATAATTTTTGAGCTATTTTGACTTAAACATTTAGCACTCTCATAAAAAAGTCAGATTTTACACCATAACCATAATTCTGCATAATTAATTAAATATGGCGTAAAATTTTACATAATTTACTAGTTAAAATAATTTTCCTATTTCTAATAATTTTTGAGTAATTTTGATTTAAACATTTAGCACCCTTATGACAAAAACATATTTTACACCATAACTTGTTTGTTTTTTTGTTTTTCTATATTCCGTTACATTTAATAAATTAACAGTAAAATTCCACTTAATGTATTATTCTACACAATTTTTCTATTTTTTATAATTTTTGAACTATTTTGACTTAAACATTTAGCACTCTCATAAAAAAGTCAGATTTTACACCATAACCATAATTCTGCATAATTAATTAAATATGGCGTAAAATTTTACATAATTTACTAGTTAAAATAATTTTCCTATTTCTAATAGTTTTTGAGTAATTTTGATTTAAACATTTAGCACCCTTGTGACAAAAACATATTTTACACCATAACTTGTTTGTTTTTTTGTTTTTTACATTCCGTTACATTTAATAAATTAACAGTAAAATTCCACTTAATGTATTATTCTACACAATTTTTCTATTTTTTATAAGTTTTGAGCTATTTTGACTTAAACATTTAGCACTCTCATAAAAAAGTCAGATTTTACACCATAACCATAATTCTGCATAATTAATTAAATATGGCGTAAAATTTTACATAATTTACTAGTTAAAATAATTTTTCTATTTCTTATAGTTTTTGAGTAATTTTAATTTAAACATTTAGCACCCTTATGACAAAACCATATTTTACACCATAACTTGTTTGTTTTTTTGTTTTTTACATTCCGTTACATTTAATAAATTAACAGTAAAATTCCACTTAATTTATTATTCTACACAATTTTTCTATTTTTTATAATTTTTGAGCTATTTTGACTCTCATAAAAAAGTCAGATTTTACACCATAACCATTATTCTGCATAATTAATTAAATATGGCGTAAAATTTCACATAATTTCCTAGTTAAAATAATTTTCCTATTTCTAATAGTTTTTGAGTAATTTTGATTTAAACATTTAGCACCCTTATGACAAAAACATATTTTACACCATAACTTGTTTGTTTTTTTGTTTTTCCAAATTCCGTTACCTTTAATAAATTAACAGAGAAATTCCACTTAATATATTATTCTACACAATTTTTCTATTTTTTATAATTTTTGAGCTATTTTGACATTTAGCACTCTCATGAAAAAGTCAGATTTTACACCATAAATATTTGTTTTTGGGTTTTTTAATTCTGCAAAATTTATAAATTATGGCGTAAAATTCCACATAATTTCCTACTTAAAATATTTTTTTTATTTCTTACAGTTCTTGATTAATTTTGACTTAAACATTTAGCACCCATATGAAAATGTCAGATTTTACACCATAACTTGTTTGTTTTTGAGTTTTTTTAAATTCTTTAAGATTTATTAAATTTGGCATAAAAGTCCACATAATTTTCTATTTAGTTTTTTTATTTCTTATAGTTTTTGAGTAATTTGAATTTAAACATTAAGCACCCTTATGAAAATATCCATATTTTAAACCATAACGTAATACTATAGGACTAAAGTAATATACAATTAATAATAATTCAACAAACGTTGAAATGTCTATGGGCTAGGTGGTTTACCTTGTAATTTTGCACCAAGGCTTAATAACTCTACTATTGCATATCTAGTTCCTGGAACCACTAAATTAAAGGTGTGTCAACCTGTTGTTCATTTAAAAATTAATTATATTACCGTTGATAAAGTTATCTATAATTACCTATTTTTTAATTTCCTACAAGAAGATGTATCTTACAAACATGTAATATTCAGGGTCAAATACACTACATCAAAAATGAATGCTTATAGATTTCTATTATTTAATAATTTTGAAAAGTGTATAATTCGCGAGGAATAATAATTGTTAATTTATTTATGATAGTAAATGTCAATGCTAAATATAATAAACAAGTAAATAAATGGTTTGTGTTAGTCTACTTAACAAGATTGCATTAAAACATTTACTGCCATTAGAGTTACTATTAACCTTGCACAAACGTTTGCTGCTTAAGGAATTAAGTATTATTTCCATCAAGTATTTAAACTTAATTTAAATCCAGTTTTAAATTTAAAAATAAAAATTCAGTTTAATATTTTTTTCAAAGTTAATAACTTCGTAAAATGTTTGCTCTTTTATTAAAAACCCTTCATCTGTTTAGCGGTAAAATTAATGTTTTTTTCCGTAAACTTATAAAAGGTTGACTTTGAAAATAAAGTTTAAAAAAATTGTAATCTAAAATTAACATTTTAAAAGACATGATAAATTTGATATTAGTACATTTTTTCTTTCTTTGACCTTTTTTACTTTTTTATGTTTTCCCCTTGTAATTGCGACGTTGCCAAACTCTCAAAAATTAATAGTATCTGGGATTTTGCGATGTTGCCAAATTTTCAAAAAATCCCATAATTAAGAATTTTTAAAAATCTTAGGAATAACTTTGAACAGTACCTACATAAGTCATTAATTTATATTAATGTTTTTTCGACTTGTTTTATTAGTAAGATACCAAAACTTGTTTTAAAGTTAAAACAAATAAGATTTTTTTTATTGAAGCAAAATAATTTCTCATCCTAATCACCCTTGGGCAAATTTGAAACGGAAATTAAACATCGCTGCCGATTGCCAATTAAAAAAGTATTAAAACTTTTTTAAAAATTAAATGTTTTATGAATTGTTCACGTATTAAAAAAGTTTTAACAAAAGACAAAGGCAATATTGTTGGAGTAACAAAATATGTTTACAACCCCTTTTAAAAAGTTACTTTGTAAGGTAAAAAATGAAAAATGTTTAAACGATGCAAATTTAAATTATTTTTTTTACTCCCACACAATGACAAGTTGTGGCTTTAGTTGACAGTTTTTAAATGTTTTTCAATCGTTAAATAATTAATTTTAATTTTTATCAAAACACCATTAAAAAGTCTTTTAATAAAAACCATAAAATATAAAAACTATAAATTTTCCACTTTTAATAATTAATATCTCTAATTGCAGAATCGTATACAGAAGAAAAATTGAACAATTTTTTTTTCATTACAGCGCCATCTATTACAAATATAAAAAAATGTTTTAGACAAAATCTTCCTATTTTTAGTCGAATGATCCGAATCTGCAATAAAAAATAGGGTGTTCCCCCTATAAGGAGGAGAGTATGAGGACCAATTTTAGTACTGATTGATTTCCCCCCTCGAATCATTTAATTTTTATTTTAAACATTATTTCGTAAAATGCATACTAACTGAGATATTTTAAAGTTTCAAGTTAAATGACTCACCCTGTATAAACGTTTCTACTGACCTTTTGATTTTTCCGAAGAAGTTCATAACTAGATTTAAACATTTTGCATACAGTGCCCATAAAACATTCTCTTCTCTGTTACTGTAAATCGATTGTTGGTCTATTTTCAAGAAATAAATTTTGATTCACACAAAAAAAAAATTAAGATTTTAACGTCGGTGGATTTTCAATTTAGAAATTCTAACGGCAATTCCAATAAATACAAATGTCACTTAACCTTTAACATTTCCCGTGTAAGAATTTTTAATAATTTGTGATAATATTTTGCAATTATAGTTATAAAAAAATCAAGTTCTTAACATAATCATATTTTGAAGTATCAATAATTTTTAAGTTTAATTAAAATAATAACGAGCAATGTGAATGGTGAAAATTACATTAAAAATGTTTATTGGGATGGTTACTTTATTTTCGTATAGATGTCGCTTTATACAAATATTTCATTTAAATAATTTTTTAGGTAATATTAAGTATTTGTCGTATTCATGTCTAAAATGACGTTTATTAAACTTGATACATAATGTACTTTAAAAAAATTAAAAGTACCTTTTTTGTAGTAATTGACGTTGAAATTGAAGTTTTTATACTGCATTAAAAATAACATTTATCTCCACGCGGTCTATAATTTAAACTTTATTGTTGTCAACATTCGATAAAGAAATACCTTGTTATGGCCTATGCCGATAAAAATTTTTATGAGGCAAGTAATTAGTTCGATTTTTTTCTTGCTACGGGTGTTGTTTTGACAAATTAATCCTTTTCTAAGAAATTAACGTACTAAACTGGTTTAATTTATTTATAATAAGCACTAATTTGTTTGTTTTACTGTTAATATTTAATATTTTTCATTAAATTATTGTAAAATTAAATATGAATAATAAAACAAAAAGTGAGGTTAGGCAACCAAGAAAACGCACGATTCTTTTTCTACGATTTAAATTATCTTTAAGTTTTAATTTGCTTTAAGTTTTCAGTAAATTTAAATGTTAAACACAGCTTAAACATTCCAAACTACCTATTTTTTAAATAAAAATCCAAACAAATTGAAATTAAGATACCTACCTATGTATTAAACAATTAATTGAATTCAATGTAATAGCAAAAATCCATTTCTACTTAAATCATGTTGCTAGGTATTGTCAAACTATTACTGCTTCTAGAAGCAATAATTATTATAATTATTGTACATTTAATGTAATCTTTAGCTAATAAATAAATGAGATTCTAAAAAAGTGAGGTTAGGCCGCTTTGATGTTGAATTAAATTGACCTATATAAAGTGCTTTGAAGATAAAATGTTGTATGCCATTCGGCCAAGAAGTGCCTTTTTGTGCTTCGCTCAATTGTAAAGCTACATTTTCAATCAACTCTGAAGCTAGCTTTAGAGTGGGAGTGTGTCGCACACGTAGAGTGGCTATTTTCAACCGATACTCGCACTCCAGCATGCATGCAAAATTTCGCGCCGAATTTTAAATAATCTGGCGCTGCGATTGGACAATAATTATTATATTATTATATTGTTAACAATGTCAAAATTTGGGGTTATCTAAATTATATTTACGTTTGTTGTTTTGGTGTAGTTTATTTGTTAATATGTGTAGCAAAAACCCTATTGAACTCTTTCTAAATGTCATATTAGGTATATTATATCCATAACACCTATATGCACTGTAAATAAACTATGACATGCTATGTTTTTTATGAAATAACAACTTTATTCTTTAAAATCAATATGATCTTAACAAAAATGAATGAAAAATGTTTATTTACGAACTTTTTCCTATATTTGTAGTATTTGTACATAGTACATATGTTTACTATTTACACAAAACCAAATTTAAAACTATCGATAGCACTATCAATTTAATACCAAAAAATAAAAAAAAAATCAGATAAAAATTAACTGAATTAAAAATCACACAAATAATAAGTCAAAGTTTGACTGCCAAACAAAAATTTGCAGTTTTGTATTTACTCACAATTATTCAGATATTTCCATGAACTTTTTGGTACCATTAAAAGATATATATTATATATAACGACTTGCCATAATAAACAATACTTACGCAATTCTGTAATTATCAATTACTAAATAGTATTAAATAAATACCCTATAAACAATAATTCAATGGTAGTGTATTAAAATATTGTAGGTTAGGATTGTTTTTACTTCTACAATCAGCTGTTTATCTGCCGCCATATTGAAATCCAAGCCAGACCCAGCACGAAAGCATAGATAATAAAACATGAAAGCTTGCACCTTCTTAGCTTTAGCACGTACGGCGGATTATGAGCTGGAGTCAGATTTTAATGAAAATGAATGATATAAAATACACAAAGCAAGCTCGCACTCTGACTCCCACTCTAGCACGAGACTTGATTGAAAATGGGCCTTAAACCTTGAGCTTAGGACAAAAAGCCTTACTTCTTAACCTAATGACATAAATAACTATTTTATTAAAAATACCATTGATGACAATGATTATATTTTAACATCATGAACTTGCCAATGTTAGATTGCAGAAAAAATTATTAATGATTTTTTTTAGATCAAAATGAGGGCATACCTAGCTGTAGCAGCTGTCGCCATGATGGCCAGCATGGTCAAAGCAGGCCAAATCTACACCCCATACAACCTCATAGCCTCCCATCAAATCCTCGCCCCCCAATACTACGCTCAACCCCAACACCAACCCCAACCGAGGATAATCCTTGCCACGGACGCGCACAACCAGGACCTCGCTCACCCTGCTGTCGTGGAGAATGCGATTGCGGAATCGCGACTTCCCGGCGAGCTGTTGAACCCCTTCTACAAGAACCCGGCGATCGCGTCGGCCTTGGCCAAGGAGTCCTGGTTTTTGAAGAAGGAGTTTCCCGTGCACAACAGGGAAGCGGAAAAAATCGACAGGCAGAAGATTTTCCAGTTGGTCGGAAACATTGAAAGCACAAGATGAGTTTGTGCCAAAAGACTCTTTGAATGAATGGTTGTGTGAATTTTTGTACTATTTATTATTTTGTAAATAAATGTTTAAGTAATATTTGGTTATTTGAATCCAAAAACGACCACCATATGGTGGTAGTCGATTAGGGTGTTCCAAAAAAAGTCGATAATTTTTTTTTCGATTGCACGTGAAATTCTTGTTATATATGCTATAAAAAAAATTCTGTAAAAATTTGAGCGCTTAATATTAACTTGAAGAACTCCATCATCGAATTTTAAGATTTTCCATTTCCTTTTTTCTTTCTATTAACTGTTGTAATTAGAAAAATTCTTAAAAAATTTAAAAATTGTGTGTAAATTATATGTTACAGCCAAAAACTGTTATATTAAATGGAAAAAATAATAAAATTGAAAGAATTGAAGCGTGAATTCAGCGTTTTGTTGACTGTTATAAAGAAATTTTGATATTTTGTTGATAGATTTTCAAATTTTTTGTTAAATTTATTATGATAGCGAATAATCATTTAAAAATATAATACAAGACTCACAATTTTGGAGCCAAAAGTGATACAAAAAATTTTCTTGGCACAGATTTGTGAAACATTGAACGATCTACTAAAATTTTCTCAAACTTTATGGTCTGAGACCAAAATTTTACACATTAAATGGAAAAAATCGAAATTTCAAAAAATCTCTATTTTTCAACGTAAATAAAAACGAGAGGGTTGACGTTAGAGACTGGACCCTAAGAACTTTTTTTTACAGAATTTAATGCTGAAGAAGGATCAGTGATGGTTTTTCCGAAAAATAATGTTCTACATAGTTTGCAGGAGAAATGAAGGTTAAAAAATCATTTTTCCATGTTAAATCAATGGAAAATCTTAAAATGATGAGTTCTTCAAGTTGATATTAAGGGCTCAAATTTTTACAGATTTTTTTTTATAGCATATAAAACAAGAATTTCACGTGCAATCGAAAAAAAAAAATATCTATTTTTTTTGGAATACCCTATAGTCGATATACAGTGACCTGCAAAAGTATGAAACAAATTCATTGAAAAATTAATATTTTCCAATTGGAGATTCGAATAGATTATGAAATTGTGATTTTAGCAATATGCACATTTATACCTTTTGGGCTAATTGATATTAATTATTAAAAGTGGAAAATTTATAGTTTTTAATAATGTTTTGATGTTTTATAGTTTTTATTAAAAGTCTTTTTAATAGAGTTTTGATAAAATTCAAAAGTGTTTATAAAAGAAATGATCATAAACTTTCTCAAAATATTTCATTTAAAACTTTTTCAGTATATAATAATTATTGTTATTTGTTTTTCTACAAGTGTCGATATATGGAAGTTAGCATTTAATTTAGGGGTCGTTTTCAAAAAACACCCGCCTTCCGCTGTCCGTAAGTTTGAGTTCCAATAACTTTATTAAAAATTATCGGATCTTATTGATTTAAAAACCAAGTGAAAGCCTAACAAGCCCTTAGTAAACTCTTTCAGAAAATTTTTGTTTAGTTATTTCAGAATAAGTTTTTTTTTAATTTTGAGACTTGTGTAACACACATTTTCGCATGTCCCATTAGCGTTTTATAAAACTTACATACATGTTTTTTTTAAATATTGAATAACCAGAACTTTGTGTTGCTTTATAGCAATCCATGACATCCTTATACATTAGTTAATACAGTAAACAACTTATATATAAAATAATTAATTTTAATCCACTATTTTTAAATTTCACTCATGTCATAGACATTTTTTCCGTTGCGTTACGTCCGTCGCGTTACCGATAGAATATTAAAAAAAACATATATATGCCATATATTATATGGCAACTTTTTTGGCACTCACGTGATCAACAAATGATGTTCGGACGTACACATTACCCAGCTGAATTTATTTATTCAATCAGGAAGAAGATATCGGTTGAAACAGGTGCGGGTAACGCGAATGTAATAATTGTTTGTCCGCTAAGTAAATTAAAAAAAATAATAAAAATAAGGTAAGAAAAAATACTATTTTTCATGTTTATGTTTATTTTAGGGCACTAAAGCTCATTGAAAGTAATTAATGACTATAATGTCTTACTTTGTCCACTGCGTTACCTAGTCCACTATGTTACCTCATGGTAACGCAATGAAGTTTAGGGTAACGCAATAGAATTTTTCGACAACAAAGTGGATATTTACCGTCGCTTTTATTAAAAGTAGTTTATGATTAACCAATTTAAAATTATTTGTAATTACAACTCATGATATACATCCAAGGAAAAATTCCACGCAATATAAAAGTACTAAAAGGGACCTTCACCAGCGTAAGTCAAAGAAAAAGGGTGTCTACAATTTAGAAATCTAAGTTGTTATTCTGCAAGTGAGCACCACTACAAGGGATTTTGTTTATGCATTACTCTAAAATCGTACCACCCTATATAGTTTCTTTTTTACGTTATCTGATCCTTTGTGTACCCCTGTCCGTTGTGATACCAATGTCTATTTCGTTACTTTTTTAGTTTTTGTTAAAAAAAATACTTAAAATGATTTTTATACACTATTATTTGGTAATAGTTGTTTATAAATTAGAGTTTAATTCACTAATACAGTGACTAAAAGAAAATATTAATGGTATTGTTTTTTTAACAAAGAATCGGAATGGTTTCTTTTAAAAAGTAACTTAACGAACAAACATATTTAAAAAAAGCATAAAATTTTTAATAAAAAATAAAATAAAAAATTGGAGTCAAAAATTTGTGAATTAAATTTTGTATTTCAAATTGGTAACACAGTGGAGATATATAAAGCTAGCTAAACACATTTTTCTGAAAAAAAACGTAAAAAAAAATTAAAAAGTGCACTGCCTGTCTTAAATGTAAGTAAACAAAACTCTAAACATTTATAAAAATCCAACCAAAAGTCAATTTAAGCAAAAAAAATATTTTGATCTTAATTTTCCTGAAAGCGGGTGTTTCTTGAAAATGACCCTTAGAACAAATATTCACTACCTATAGGTGTAAAAACTATAAGTTAAGCGTTTAGTAAAGTATCTGTCTCTTAAGCGTTCTCGAAATATTTCAAAGTATTGAAATATCGGCCTTTTAACGGAAACACAGAGAATTTAAGTTTTAATTCTCAAAGGATGTGGAAATAAAACCAGAACACAACAAGAAGTTTGGAATTTAGTTAATGCAAAGTATCCAGCTCGACCTATTACTCGTGCTACGGTCACCAGTAGATTTATTTGGATTCTTCCTGTGTATCTTTTAGTCAAAATTTGCTGCTGATGTATGTGTGTACCAGATTTCACTTTTGTAAGTAAGGTTAGGGTGAGACAAAACAAACATTTGGAGTTTACTGGAAAAAAGGATGTTTAACATCATAATTTTATTTTACTATCTCTAATATATCTGTATATGACAGTGAGCGTATATTGAAAGGCATGCTATAGCCGATATGTGTTTATGTTGTTAACATGCAACCCACACCTGAAGAATAAATGGTTTATATCCCCTACCTGGCCGCATTCGTAAAGCCGACTATCTTTTACGCCTATTCTATATAAATGATGTGGGGATCCAGTGCCAAATCTTAATCCAATAATTACTGTAATAGATTCTCTATTTAAGTATTTAATGTTCAAGATTCAAGATTTCAAGATTTATTTAGTAATATTGTGTAGTGTTTCCGTCTCTGTTTAAAGGATTCTTACCAAGAGTTTTTCCAATTTAAATGGAGATCTGCAACCCTAATTATCTCACTGGAAGGGATTTTAAGTTTTATAATATTATTTTTTGCTAGCTGATCTGCTATGTCGTTTCCCTCTATGTTTTTGTGTCCAGGAATCCAGATTAAGATTCCCTGACCCCCTGAGTGAGAAATATCATAGAACATTTCGACAATTCCCAAACAAATGTTGTTAGTTTGTGTGCTACGGTTATTAAAATTGAACGGAGGTTCAGAGAGACTGGACATGTCAAAGATATTTCAAACCTGGCCGTCCAAGTATTAGTGAATACACTAAAATTGACATTTTATACCGCAGACTACAATTTTGTGAAATTATGATGAATTTATGTAACAATAATCCACACTTTCCTCGTAAAATAAAATGGTACAGTCAACTGTCAAAATTGTAGATAATGGAGCAGAGAAAATCCTCATTGGGTAGAAGAGGCAAATTCCCAATATCGGCAAAAAATCGGCAGGAATGGTAGAAAATTGGATTATATGTCCTTTCTTCTTTGACGAGAATATGACAGGACAAACGTATTTGGAATTTTGGAAAACTCTCTTCTTCCCACATAAGCAAAAATGTTTCCCAATGATAATGTAGGTCCCGATCTACCAAGTACCATTTGGTTTGGTTTTTTGGACACGTGTTTCCCTGAGAGGTGGATTGGCGGACAAGGTCCGATAGAGTGGCCAGCGAGATCTCCAGGTCTCACCCCTGTCGATAATTTCCATACTTGTGCCGGTTACTGTATAAATATTTTAACGAATCGTGACTCTAGAAAAGTTAATATCTAGCCTCTGAAACGATTTTACAGATCCTTCGTGAAACCGATGCCTAATTTAGTAGGTAAAAGCAGTTCCATAATGAAATTGTTTCAGAAACGGAATTAGAGTTAATTCGAGGTCTAAAATAACTACACCAAGCACTCCTACACGTAATCTAATGCTATTTGTAACAGCGAATATATGATGATAAAATACGATGCTTACTGAAATGAAATTACTGCCATTAATATTAGAAATTTACGCGATGTGGCACTATTAGACAGACGCAAAACCGTCGTAATTTGTTCCGCTGTGACCTGAACACGTACGCTTTTGCTAAAAATACTCGGAAACTAGAATTAATTAACTATTATTTAGTTGCAACATTTCATATCAAAAGGATTCCTTTTTAAACCAAAATTTGCCACCCACTGACAGAAAAACGTTGAATTCGTCAAACAGGCCTTATAATGGGCTCAGTGCTGGCTAGCACATATCTTTGCAAAATAGCTTTTCCAACATGAAATATATAAAATCAAAATATTGACACACTGAACAAACAGAAAAAAGCTTTGATTGCTTTTTATGCTATA